GCCTCAGCGTTGGCCTTGGACAGCATACGGTTGGCGTCGGCCCGGGCCTCGCTCTCCTCCTCCAGCTGCTCGCGAAGGCCATCGAGGTCATGCTCCAAGTTGCGGAATTTGCCAAGCAAAATAGATCGGTCCTAAAAAATGAAACAGGAAATACCTTGAATATGTTAGGTATGTTAGTATATGTACTTGTATATATTTATTATGTTGATTCTACAGGCATTACAGACATCCACTCCACCTGATCGAGCCCCAAGGGATTGGCGTTCTGCCGTCTGCGCGCAGTCCTTACCTTTCCTTCGTCTTCGGCAGCCCTCTTGGTGTCCTCTAGCTGGGTCGTGAGGGACGACTTGAGGTTGTTCAGCTGGTGGATCTGACTCTCAGCTTCCTCCAGCTGGCGCAGGAGATCCCCGTTCTCGATCGCCAACTTCTTCTTGGCGGCGTCAAAGTCGTTGAGAGTGCGAGCGGCCTCGTCCAGCTTGGAGCTCACTTCGAGGATTTGATTCTGAATGCCCTTGTTGGCCTTCTCGGCGGCGGCCTGGGGGGGGGGGTTAGAAAGGGGCGATATTCAGGAAGGTTTTCGAAAGGTGAAAAAGAAAACACAATTTATACTGTGTATACATATATATACGTGTATGTGTATATACGTGCATATAAATATATATATATATATATATACATGTGTGTGTGTATGTATGTATATATATATACATATATATATACATACATATATATATTTGTGTGTGTGCGCGCGCGCATATATGTGTATGTGCATATATGTGTATATACACACACGCAAGAGTTCCTCATCAGACGAACAAAGCACCAGATAACTATTTATTTATTCGTGTGATGAAGAACTCTTGATTATTTGAGACGTCACTATTCAGCTTCAGTTTTTACTGTTGCTGCTTCATTTTCAGTTTTTGTGTGCATATTACTGTGTATGTGTTAACACACACACACACGCGCGCGCGCGCGTGTGTGTGTGTGTGTGTGTGTGTGTGTGTGTGTGTGTGTGTGTGTGTTCTTTTACCTTGTCGCGGGTGAGAGAATCCATCGCTGCCTTTGCTTCATCTGCCTGATACCTCAGAAGTTCCTTTTCCTTCTCAATCCTGAGAGAAGAAGAAAAACATTAGATGCAAGTCTGAAAGTGCGTCTGCATATGTCCAGCCTACTGATCGTTACTCGCTTGCTTACTTGGCCTTCGACTTGTTGAGATGATCGATCTGGTCCGACATCTCTGCGCTGGCGTCGGTGTGCTTCTTGCGCAGCACAGCGAGAGCCGCTTCGTGGTGGATGGTAGACTCCTCGAGCTCCCTGCGCAGCTTGGCCAGCTCGGCCTCGCGCTTCTTGTTCAGCTCGCTCTGGGCAGCCGTGGCGCCGCCGGCCTCGTCCAGACGCTCGTTGAGCTCCATCAGCTCGCGCGACAGATTGCTCTTCGACTTCTCCGCCTTGGCGCGCGCCTGGCGTTCGTGCTCGACCTCGGACTCGACTTCCTCAATGCGAGACTGGAGCTCCTTGATGGACTTCTGCACTTTGGATACGTGCCCTTGCTCGTCCTCGAGCTTAGAGGCAAGGGATCCCAGCTCTTTGTCCTTACGCTGAATAGTCTGCTCCAGCTCTCGGTGCTTGCGCTCCATGTCGCCAACGGCTTCCTGGCTCAGCTTCAGGTCGCCCTCAATCTTCCTCTTGTTTTTCTCGACTTCCGCTCGCATTTTCTTCTCCCGTTCTACTGAGTCCTCCAGCTCGTCCAGGGTTTGCTCCAGCTTCGCCTTGACCTTGTTCAGGTGGTTGGCCTTGTCCTCGATGTTCTGCAGGTCCTCAGCTGTCTTCTGGTTCATTTCCTGCAGCTGCTTCTTCTCCTTGTTGACCTTATTGATGAGCTCATCCTGGTGTGCGATCTCGTCGTTGAGAGTGCGGATCTGATGATCCTTGGTAGATTTTTCTTGCTCTATTTTCTGAACATTTACCTCAAAGTCCTCAACATCTCGTTTCATGTTCAGAACGTCTTGGTCTCCTCTTTTCTTATCCTGGAACAATTTGGAGCGCGCTTCCTCCTCCCGCTGCAACCGGTCTGATGCGTCCTGTTGCAAAAGGGAGAACAACAACAATTACACCGTTTTCCCTTGACCACTGAATATTAATTACCAGTTAGTTACAAATGCCGGAATATCATTACTAAAAATGTTTCTGTACTAAAGCTTACATAATAACCTGATCAAATGATAAAACTCACGTTTAGCTGTGCCTCCAGATCGTTCTTCTGCGTCGTAAGTTTGGCCTGCTGCTCCATGAACTCAGCAATATTTCCCTTAGATGATTCTAGGGTAAGCATAAGGTTATTTTTCTCCTCGACAAGCGAAAGGTTTGCTTCCTCAAGTTCTTTGCGCTTCGTAAGTTCGCGGTTGAGGTTCTCCTCAGCCAAAGAAGCCCGGTCTTGCAGGGCACGAATCACGTCTTCAATGCGCTCCTGGTGGAGGAGTGGCTTCACTCGTTGCCA